GTTGCGGCGGGCGGCCTACACGGTGGTCACTGACTCCTCTACTCTAGGGCCCAGCGCCTTCCAGATGACACCACTTCCCAAAAGGCTGAACTCACAGCCTTACCCGGGCACTCACTCTAGTCCGGGGGAAACGGGTAACCATCTACACTGACTCTAAATATGCCTTCTTCATCACCCATAGTCACTCTGTACTCTGCAGGGAACAGGGATTCCTCACTACCAAGGGCTCCCCCATTATCAACGCTGCCCTCAGCTCTCAGCTCCTTGACGCCCTCCTGCTACCGCGGAGGTAACAGTGGTACACTGCAAAGGACATCAAGCCCGCCGGATCCGGATTCTCTAGGGACCACTGGTGCAGACACAGTAGCTCGGGGTCTCACCTCAGACACCTCCTCTACTCCCATCATGTTTCCACTCCCATTAAGGCCTCTTATACTACCAGGGAGAAGAGAATTTTATACAAAGAGGAGGAAGAAAAACTGAGCAGGAATGGCTATTCCTCGGAGACAAAGTTGCCCTGCCGGGGGAGCAGGCTGCGGCCCTCCGCTCTGACATCCAGCGCTCTCCACGTGTAGGGCCTGGAACCCTGGACCGCTTTCTGCAGCCACTCTTCCTCCCAGGCCTCCAGCGAGCTGTTGAAGAAGTACACGCGGCCTGTGCTATCTGTTCAAAGACCTCTCCTTAAGGGGGTCTCCACCCCCGATTCCCACCCACCACATGAGAGGACATCAGCCAGCCCAAAACTGGCAAATTGATTTCACCCATAGGCCTCCCCACAAAAAACTCTGCTACCTTCTTACCTTTGTTGATACCCTTTCAAGATGGATCGAGGCCTTTCTCACCCCCGGGAACAGCCGACACCGTTGCCTCTATCTTCATTGACCAGGTCGTCCCACGTGTTGGACTGCCGATGGCCATTCAACCAGACAACGGTCCTGCCTCTACTGCTCAAGTGGCTCAGCAGGCAGTGAACTCCCTGAACATCACCTGGAAGCCCACATACCATGTCATCCCAGATCATCTGTATCCTAAAAAACCACCCGACCAAACTTTCTATTGAGGCCAAACTCTCCTGGCCGGTCCTCTCCCTCTCGCTCTCACCAGGACTAGAGCTACTCCGGGGGCCCTACAGGGCTCGGCCCCTTTGAACTGCTTGATGGGAGACCGTTTCTAACTAACCACAATTTCCCCATAAACCCCTCACCTCTGGCCACATACCTCCCTTCCCTATCGCTGCTCCGCCATCTCTTGAGAAAACATGCAGATCAGACCCTCCCGCCTGTATGGGGCCCCGACGGTGCCCAGCCCATGGTTCCCTCCAGCTGGGAGACAGCGTCCTCCTACGAGAACTCAAGCCCGGCTCCTTGCAACCTCTGTGGACGGGACCCCATAGAGTAATATTAACCACCCCCATGGCCCCCAAACTCCTGGGACAGACACCCTGGTACCATGTTTTCTGCCTCAAACTGGCCCTGGCCCAAGACCACTGGCAATCCGAACCCTTGAGCCCCACCTGCCTCCGGATTACCCGGAGCCCGGCTCCCTTGGCTCCTCGCCCTTCTCCTGATCCTTATTCCAGGAATTCCCAGTACAGCTAAGCAGATCCAGGCCTATGTCTGATGTTTCTATGTACAAGAAAGCTGGACTGAAGGTGGGACAACCCACACCCACTTCCTAACCACAGTGGGCTGCCAGCCTGGGGGCTGCCAGGCAGCATTACCATCCCGGCCCAGATGTCAGAAATGAGAAGCGCACCTAATTCCGTATCTCCGCCGTTTGTTTCCTGCACGAACAGACCCGGGATCACGGCCGCCGGTGGCCCCAGGTGTTTGGAAGCTGCCCCTACTGGGCCTGTGCCATAAACTACCTCGGGCCGTCCAAATTTAAACTCATCATCAAAGACCCCTGGGACAGAAATGGGTAAAAGGTGTAGAAGAAAAAGTCTACAGCTACCCCAGGCACGTGTCAGCTACCCCTCAGGAACCTTAAAAATCTTCCGGCCCTATACCCGCATCATCCCAGAACCCACAGAACGACTGGGACAAATGTCCAATACCATCCTACATAATGAAGCTGCCCTGGACAGTCACCTGCAACCCCAAGAAGACCCGTTCCCCGGGCTGGCCCTGATTCGTCAGGGGGCAGAAACCTTGCCTCACCCCGGGCTGGGCAGTGTTACCGGCTGCTTCATGGGCGCTGTTCTTGGCCGTTCACCCCTGACGGCAGTTCCCCTAATCCAGGGCTTCAACGACTCGACTGCCCAGCCCACCCTTCCTCCACTAACAGAGGGACCCCTATTCCGGGAATTCCTCACCCCAAACTCCTCTGTCTGTTACAGAGGCTCTTCTACCTCCTCATCTCGTCTCCCGTGCAACTCCACTATTGTGGTCACTGCTTTACTTAATGCGCCACCTGGAGGATTCTTTTGGTGCAATGAAACCCTAACTAAATCTATAAACACCTCATCCCCTTTTCCTTACTTACTGGTTACCCTAGTGCCCCAACTTATGATGTAAGGCCAAGCGGAATTCCTCTCCTTGCTGTCCCAACCGGCCCGCCGGGAGAAAGGGGCAGTCTTCCTCCCGGTCCTGGTGGGCTCTCTCTAGCCTCCTCCCTCGTTGCCGCAGGTATGGGAGGTGGCGCCATAGGACACAGCATAACAACCGCTTCCCAGCTGGAAGAAAACTCCACATAGCTGTAGAGACGTCAGCAACATCCCTAGCCTCTCTCCAGCGCCAGGTCACCTCCCTTGCTCAGGTTACACTCCAAAATCCGTGGGCACTAGACCTATTGACAGCAGGCAAGGGAAGGACCTGTCTCTTCCTCCAAGAACATTGTGCTACTGTATCAATGAGACTGGTCTAGTAGAAGAAAGTATCAACGTCCTGAATCGCCTGCAAGATGAGCTCTGCAGGAGGCAGACAACGGATAACCCTTTCTCAGGACAGTGGCAATCACCAGCATTTACATGGATTGCACCCATCCTCGGCCCTCTCCTCATTATCTGCTTGTTACTGATGTTTGCTCCTTTTGTCCTCAGATTTTTACAAAGCCGCATTTGCGACGTCTCTTGAGTAGCTGTCAACTAGATGCTACTTCATCCCTACATGCGACTCCCTTCTGAGCCACTGACCACTGACCTTCCCTCCCCATGATGCCCCTACCTGGCGCGAAGCAGCCAGACAGAAAACGGTGCCCATATCTAACACAAAAGGTCAGAATGTAAGGTCGGTGGGCTCCAGGACGAGGAGTCACATGACTTCAGGCGGGGAAAGAGACGCCCAGGAGAAATCGAAACCACCAGTCAAATACCTCCCCTCTTTGTTATGCAGAATCACCCCACCTTACCCCTGGGCCAATCAAGTACCTCCCCTCTTCGTTATGCAGAATCACCCCGCCTTACCCCTGGGCCAATCAAGTACCACCCCTCTTCGTTATGCAGAATCACCCCGCCTTACCCCTCGGCCAATCAAGTACCACCCCTCTTCGTTATGCAGAATCACCCCGCCTTACCCCTCGGCCAATCAAGTACCTCCCCTCTTTGTTATGCAGAATCACCCCGCCTTACCCCTCGGCCAATCAAGTACCTCCCCTCTTTGTTATGCAGAATCACCCCGCCTTACCCCTGGGCCAATCAAGTACCACCCCTCTTCGTTATGCAGAATCACCCCGCCTTACCCCTCGGCCAATCAAGTACCTCCCCTCTTTGTTATGCAGAATCACCCCGCCTTACCCCTCGGCCAATCAAGTACCTCCCCTCTTTGTTATGCAGAATCACCCCGCCTTACCCCTGGGCCAATCAAGTACCTCCCCTCTTTGTTATGCAGAATCACCCCGCCTTACCCCTGGGCCAATCAAGTACCACCCCTCTTCGTTATGCAGAATCACCCCGCCTTACCCCTCGGCCAATTAAATATCTCCCCTCTTCGGTCCTCCACCTCCCCTCTGAAACTTTCCTGGGCGGACGTAACAGCGACTTCCCTGGCCCAACCCCGGACCAGCCAACCTCGCCCGAGAGCGCTCCAATAAAACTTCCTTGCCCGCTTCTGCGGCTGTTTCTCTTTTTTCCTGGCGAGAAACCTTACATGTCCTATTTGGGTTATGTGGCAACTTATACACCCACTTGGTACTAAGTACCGTTCCACAAACTGAGAGTCTGATTCCTTGTGCAGCCACATGGGGCTTCTACCTACTGTGTAGGGCTCAGCGCGCGGGACGGGCAGTGTGGAGCCCACCAGCTGCTGTTTGATCTTGGTGGGTGACAAAACCCATTTCGACTTTAGTTTCTTCACTTGTCAGAAGAGTATTATCCCATTTTCACAGCTATCCTGTAGGCTGGCGTTTGGGATGGAATGAAACAACATATCAAAGTTTTTCCAAGTGGAAACAGCTGTTAATTTCTAGTAGCTACTGTTAATACCTTGGCATTTGTTCTTCCTGAACCATTTTTAATCACCAGTAAGTTGGGGAAAATAATACCTACCTCAAAGAGTTGTAAGGATTAAAGAAAGTAAGACACTCAGGATATGGACAACTAAACCGGGGACAGGGTGGAGGGGGGGGGGTGCCAATGGGGTAAAAAGGTAAAATATCTGTAACAAAAAAATAAATAAATAAATAAAAATTCAAAATTAAAAAAAAAAATAAAGTATAATAACATTTTAAATTGCAAAAAAAAAAAAAAAAAAGAGTAAGACACTCAAACTGAAGTTTGGGGAAATGTAGGTTGATTTTTATTGCTTGTTGACTATTAAGAAAGCATGATTAATTTTGTGTAATTTATTCCTTTGATTACATATTGAAAATTGGATCAACTTTAAAGTCCTTTTAAAATCGAAACTTTTTCTTGTGAAACTTGACATACTTAGCATGAAAATAAAGCGAGAACTCACAGATCAGAGTGATCTAATGAAAATGCCTCATAGAACTTTGGGGCATTTTAGTATTGACCGATGCTCGTTTTATGGGGAGTCAGTTGAACATCATAAGCTGATTCCGCACAGCAGTTTGATACTTCATTGTAGATTGACATGTACAAGAAAGGAAAAGAAAATTCACGTGGTTCTGATGAAAATCAATCTAGTGGAATAAACACGTCATTTTGCTATTTCTTTGACTTTCGTATCTAAATCCGCTCACCATTCCCCTGCACCCTGTCATCGGCACAGTTTCCTCTCTGAGCTCCTTTTGAAAGTATTCTTTCGGCTGCCATCTCATTTTTCCAGGGTGTCAAGTTGCTTCAAGTGTGAAGGCTTGAGGTCACTATTTTGAGGTTCCCTGAAACAAGGCAGGTTCTCCATGGAAGATGTGGGTGGTTTAGAGACAGATGTGACTGTTTTCGTGGCACGTAGTACCCGTGTCAGCCACAGACAAGTAAAGCTTCCCGTCTGGACACACGCACATTTCATAGAGTCTTTGTGAGTTGCCAGCAGCACCCTGTGCCCTCTGAACCAACTTGGGTAAACGTACCGTTTCAGCGTCAAGCACAAGCTGTTCGGGAGAAAATGAGAGATTAATTGGTAAAGGAGGAATGAACATGATACACATAAAACTCATATTCTCAAAATGTTTTAAACAAATTAGTTTTTTCTCAGCATAGAATATGAAATAAGCACCTGATTTTACTTGTCATATTATAACTATCCAAATCTTTTAAAGTCTGTGTCTGTTTTACATTCAGGCAAGGTGTTAATAATTCCTTCTCTAATTTGGAGGGATGTCATTTCTACTCCTACTCAGTGTGCTAGTTTCACTAGGAAAATTTATAATGCTGCACTCCCCAAAATACCTTTCAGAATTTCCTGACAAAAGTAACAATAGGACTATTTTGCTGATTCACATTTATCTTGTGAACCACTTTGACTTTATGTTAATTCATCTTCTCTTCTCCATTAACATAAATCACAAGTCACAGAAATAGATGCATCTAAATTATTTTTACCTGTGGATGTTGGAATTTCTCCTGATTTTATTTTCCTGTGAAAGGCAATTAAATTCATCCCATTAGCTATCAAGCATTTCCCTACCTTTTAGAATATTTGAAACTGCTGCCTTCTATTAGATGCAGAAAAGCAGTAGACACCAGATCAAAGCCAACGAAAATAAAACAAAAGCTACTAAATTGTGTGTTCCTATTACAGTTTAGTTAACTGAAATGCAAACCAATGGCCATCGGTTGAGTTTTGGACATTTTTTTGGTAACTGAAGATGGTAAGAATTGTCGCACTGAGCTCCGAACCTTGCTGTTTTCGGATGCTCACTCGTTGAAGGAATTAAATACATTGCGAGCAGGCATAACGTTCTTCCGCGCCAACCAAGTCAGATCCTTCCTCTGTTTTATGTGGCCTTCATCCATGAGCTCCAATCTTTTAGTAACTTGGCTGGCGCATCCTCGCTCCGGGAACACCGACCGCTGCAGCGAGTGGATCAGTGCTGGTGGCTTTGGGGGCAAAGCTTGGCCCTTGAGGTCTGGGACTCCCAGAGTAAAGGAATCAATGGGTATCACGTTGTAAATGCAGAACCTATTTATGTTATTGCCAAATGCTTTGGGTGCTGGGGGTGCTTGCCTTTCCCAGTGTGCTCTTGATTTTCTCTAACTTGTCTGCTTCTCTGTCCTATTTTATGGATAATTGCTCAATTTTTTTCTAGTTGTTATTTCTTTTCCAGCAAACGCTAGTCACTGGTAGTTTATATACTGCTCCTCTGCCCATCTTCTTTGCTTTGGTAGGACAATATTTTGTGGGAGGCAGACAACACTTCACAATGAACTGGCCCCCAGTAATAAGAGAGAGGAACTTTAATGATGGGCTAGACTGTGCTATTTATAAATTGACACCTAATTCATGGGAAACAGTTTATGTTATTTAAAAATTACAGTCAGTATAAATTTTTTCAAGGTAATACACTTTAAATATGTAGTGACATTATGATTTTGTAATAATATTCCAAAATTCTTGGTTTCCATTTCTGCATTTATCTGCTCCGGGTGTCATCACTTTCAAGGTGAGACTTGTGGGAGCTTCGCCAGACGACCTTACATCCAGCTCCGGCCGCCATCGGGTCCTGCCCATGCCCGCGAGCTGCCCTCTCGGCCCCCCTTGGCCTCAACTACACCTTCTTAATATTAAACTGATATGATTTCAAAATGTTGTCATCCATATCACCATATTGGTGTCTCGGAACCCTGTGACATAGTTAAGCAAATATTATTTCCCGTACTCGCCAGATGGGAACATAAAGCCCAGGGAGGCCTGTTATGGCCCCTGAATCCCAGTAGGGGATCAGCGAATTGGTCGAGCACCAGAACCATCAGTGTTGAACAACCGCAGGCAACTCCATTGCCTCCTCGCGACTCTGACCTGTTTCAGAGATGTTTTACTTCTGGACTTGAAGTTCCAGATTTTATCTTTATTGTAGTTGACTTTATTGTAGTTGACTTTTATTTTTATTTATTTTTTTAATACAAAATTTTTATTTTCCATATTTTAATTTTTTTTCTTTATTGATGTTAGAGAAAGAGGAAGGGGGAAAGAGAGAGATAGAAACATCGATGAGAGAGAACATCGATTAGCCACCTCTTGCATGCCCCTCATTGGAGATCATCCCACAGCCTGGGCACGTGCCCTGACTGAGAATCGAACCCATGACCTCTTGGTGCATGGGTCAGCGCTCAACCACTGAGCCACACCGGCTGGGCTGTAGTTGACTTTTAAAGATCTTATTTTCATTTAAACATAATTTGGCCTAAGAAAGCCCAGTGCTCTGAGTGGTGACAGATAATGGTTGTCACAGGTACCTTCCAGTGACAGATGTATCACTGGGAAATGGCAGAGTTGATATTCTTTGTAAACTCGGAAAGTCGGTAGTATTTTTCCAAAGCTGAAAATAACAAGAAACTTGATGGCACAAATACTCGTTAAAGAAAGCTGTGTGGATCCAACACAGAATTACTTTGAACTTCCTTGGACCTCCTTTCCGTGCTAAAGTAACTTTTCCCTTGTTCACCTTTTCCTCTCTCCACTTCTCCCAACGTTTCCTTACAAACCACCGTAAACTTAATATGCTGACGCCTTAGGGACATGTGTGTTGTCAGGACAGACGATAGGAGGCTGACTACTGAACTCACCGTCCCATCACTACTGTGGAAAACGATGTCCATCTGGGACAGGGCCTGGACTTCCCCAGCGTGAGCGGTGATGTGAACACCCTTCGGGGCGCCCATGCCGAGTCTGCGCGTGGGAGACTCCAACCTGACCAGAGAAAGAAACCAGGGAAAACAGTACTTTAAAAAGCCACCCCAGGAATCCAACGAAGAGCTCAGCACAGAAAATATAGCTAACAAAGTACATGGTATCTTCACATCATTCTTGAATGCTAACAAAATGTACATTATTCATTGAAAAATTCAGAAATAATGTGCAGTAAAGAAACTGACTTCCTATTAGTGAGAGTCTATGAAATTAGTATTCTCTAAGAACAGATGAAACAGTAGCAAGCCCTAACCCTGTGCAGTGGCTTCAGACGGCATGGTGAAGCACTCTGGCATTCCACACCCGAAGAAAATGCTATTTGTGAATAACTGTACAGCTTTTTTTTTTTAGTTAAAGCACAAACCGTTTGGATAAAGACAAATTTAAGGACACCACATGCATTTGCTACATGTTCAAAAACTAGAATGCAAGCTTGGCCTTTAGATTTTGGTTGCCTTCTTTTTTTAATTTAGGAAGATTATAGAACAGATGCAAACATTTCTTTTGGAAAAATGCTGAACTGATGGAATGAATACACAGGCTGGAGATCGACCTCAGCTGGCTTTTCCCCCATAAAATTTATCAGAATCTCTTTGTGACTAAGTCAAACATAATACAGAAGTTTTAGGAATGTATGGACCAGAAAAAATTCTCTCATTTTGCTCTGTCTGGAAAACACTGAATTTCCACCAGATGGCACAATGTGATCACTTGACAGATTTTTTAATTGCTCCAACCTAACCCAACCGCAAAGATGGAGAGGCTGATTGAAATGTTTTCAGATCTCCAGAGCGGGAACAGGACGGAGAAGACCTGTGTCCTCCTGTAGGTAAGGTGAGAGGGAAGCGGCCAGAGAGAGAGGGAAGGACTCAGAAGAGACAAGGACCCTGATAATGCATCTGCGTGTGACTTGACTGAATATTTATCTGACAGAATTTTAAGTCAGATGGTTGCCCCCTCTCACTGGCAAGTTTTTTGTCTACCACCATTTGCTATAGTGAATAAGGTTTCATTTACTTATATACATTTTAGTAGGTGAAAGTTGATGTTACACATTTTGAAATCTTAGGCTGAGTAAAAGAAAACCCTTAGAGACATTTATGAAATTTATTGGCTAAATTATGGTGGGTTTAGGCCACGGGGAAACACTTGGTCTAGCGTGGTGATTTTCAACTGGTGTGCTGTGAGGATTTTAAAACATGCAATACCCGAGTAACTGGTCAGGGGCACTGAGCTCTTTTCCCCCAGACTGTCAAATAAAACAATGACAACAGCCGTCACAACAATAGCCATCCTGTGTGAACGAATCAAAATTATACCTGTTTTTTGTCAGATAGACCAAAAAAAAAAAATTTCTGTGTGTGTCATAGAGATTTAGTAATTAGATTATGTGTGTCATAAGATGAAAAAGGTTGAAAATTGTTAATCTAGTTGACTGTCCATTTTGCTATTTTGACGTTTGCTAATTGCCTACTGTTTTCCTGCCTGGACTGATAGAAAGTTGAAGGAGGAGAGAAAAGAAGGGAAGAAGAAATGTAAGCAATCTATAAAGGTCTGGTCCATTTCAGGCAAACTGTTTGTGAACTTGAAGATCCTAGTAAAGGTGAGTCTGTTTCAAAGATTTGTTGTCAACAAAATTGCCTCAATAGGGCCAAATATTCTTTTTTAAAAATTATTTTTTTAAAATAAGTTTTTAATGATTTTTTTTTTTTTAGAGAGAGAGAGAGGAAGGGCAAGAGAGAGAAACATTGATGTGAGAGAGAAACATTGATCAGCTGCCTCCTGCACGCCCCCTACTGGGGATTGAGCCTGCAACCCGGGCATGTGCTCCGACTGGGAATCGAGCCGGGACCTCTCAGTCCATGGGATGATGCTCAACCCACTGAGCCACACTGGCTGGGTTCAATTCCTCATTTTTTAACCATATCATAATATTATGCTTCTATAAGAGCAAATTTCTTCCCCTTTGCCATCATTTCTACCCTTGAAGATGTTCCGTTCAGCACAGCTTAAGACTCACTAATCAAGGAACATGTATGCACAACCCATGGACACAGCCAACAGCATGGTGATGGCCAGAGGGAGGGGCAGGCGGGGGCTGGGTGGATAAAGGGGAAGAAAATGGGGGACATCTGCAATAGTGTCAACAATAAAAAAAGACTCCTTTTACCAAAAAGACTGTGGTTAAAATGGTCTGAAGTATACATTTCTATAAACTCATTGACGAGGAGTCAGATATGAACTGATTTAATTTTTTTCTCTTTGTTATATTTTAGTTTGCTAGTTAGATATCTACTCTTTTCTTCAAATAAGTGAATATATAAATATTTATCAATTACTTATATAGAGTGAAAAGTTTTGAGCACATACAGAAATCTGTGCAAATAAACAAACAAGCTGTGTTTATAAAAGTACGATTAAGATAATTTGGTTGCTAAAGCAGGTGAGTTTTAAGTTGTATTGGCTGAAGATAATAGAATTCATCAATTTCCCAAAGATTTGCACATACTTATTTATTAAGGTGTAGTTGGTATACCATATTCTATTAATTTCAGGTGTACAACATAGTGATTTGACATTTTTATCTTAAAATATACTCACCACACTATGTCTAGTAACCATCTGTCACCATGCAAAATCATCGCACTATTATTGGTTACATATATTCCCCTTCACCTGTTGTCCCCATCACTCTACCGCCCTCCCCCCAGCAACTATCAGCTTGTTCTTTGTTTCTATGAGTCTGTTGTTTTGTTTTGTTTGTTTGTTCTTTCATATAATACATTTATATAAAATAAAATTATTTTTTCAATTAACCTTTGCAGTCAATATTATTTTGCCTCAGTTTCAGGTGTACAGAACAGTGGTTAGACAATCATAAACTTTACAAAGTGACCCCCTGACATTTCAAGTACCCACTTGGCCCCATACATAGTTATTACAATATCATTGACTATATTTCCTCTGTGTACTTTACATCCCTGTAACTATTTTCTATCTAGAAATTTGTAATTCTTCATCCCTTCACTTTTCTCACTCTGGCCCCCAACGCACCAGCTCCCTGTCAACCATCAATCTGGTCTCGGTGTCATTGAGTCTGTTTCTGTTTTATTTGTTCATTTGTTTTGCTTTTTGTATTTCACATATATGTAAAATCATATGGTATTAGTCTTTCTCTGTCTGATTTATTTCACTTAGCATAATACCACCTAGGTCTATCCATGCTATTGCAAATGGTGAGATTTCATTCTTTTTTATGACCCTATAATATTCCATTATATATATGGACCACAGCTTTCTTATCCACTCATTTATTGATGGGCACTTGGGTTGCTTCCATAACTTGATTATTGTAAATAACACTGCAGTGAACATAGAGGTCTGTATATTCTTTCGAATTAGTGTCTTTTGCTTCCTTATATTCCAAATCGATGGTTGCTTCTTGGCTTCACCTACTCTACTATTGATTCCCAGCAAATTATTTTTTATTTCAGTTAGTGCCTCTTTCATTTCTGACTATACATCCTTCATTTCTGACTGGTCCTTTTTTATGCTCTTGAAATTCTCACTAAGTTCCTTGAACTTCCTTATAACCAGTGTTTTGAGCTCTGCATCTGTTAGATTATTTATTTCTGTTTCATCTAGTTCTTTCCCTGGAGTTTTGTTCTGTTCTTTCATTTGGGACATGTTTTTTTGTCTCCTCATTTGGCTGCCTCCCTGTGTTTGTTTCTATGTATGAGGTAGAGTTACTGTGTCTCCTAGGCTTCCTAGGGTGGACTGTTGTAGTAGGTGTCCTGTAGGGTCCAGTGGCACAGCCTGCCTGATCACCCCTGGGCCCTAGAGGTGCACCACTCATGTGGACTGTACACCCTTCTGTTGTAATTGAGCCTTGATTGCTGTTGACATGTTAATGGGAAGGACTGTACACCCTTCTGTTGTAATTGAGCCTTGATTGACTCAGGCTGGTCAGCTGCAAGGACTGGCTGTGCCCACTAGCCACTACCTTGGAGGATCAGTTGTGCAGGGCCCACCACACAGAGCAAGACTCACTTCAGCAGGGCTCTGGTACCCACTGAGTCCACTCATTGAGTGTGTCACTTGTGGAGGTGGTTGGTGGTGGTGCTTCAGTGGTATGAAGCTGCCCACTGGGTGTGCTGGCTCTGGGGCAAGGTCAGCCACTGCCTGTGTTCTACCCAGGGCCACCAGGCATAAGCTACAAAGTGATCTGCAGATGGCTGCTTCTTGTGCTGGGCTTGGAGGTGCCCAGGTAGAGCCAAGTTGTGAACTAAGGTTGGCTGCTTCTAGTGCCAGGTCTGGGGCCACTTAATGAGAGGTATGGGCTCCCTGAGACTAGATACTGCTTGTCTGAGAGCATTTAGGAAAATCTGAAGCAAGAGCCAAAATAGGCCAATCCTCTGGTAAAGCCACTGGAAACAGCCTGAGTAGACCCAAAAGTTGTATGGGGCAGGGCCTCAGAGAATCACCGGGGCAGGGAACACAGTGTGAGCCAGGTTGCTGGAGTCCCTGATGTGGCTGCTGTCTGCCGCCCCAGGGAAGGGCTCACCAAAGGAACAAAGGCCTCCGACAGCACATCTGTCTGGGAGAAAGCTGCCCCTCCAGTCCTTGCCTGGTGCCAAACTGCTCGGTTCTTCCCTGTATATCTCTGGTGCCTTTCAAGCTGCCTCCCCAACACTGAAGCCCAGAAGGAGTGAGTCCGAGTAAGTCCGTGCGTGGGCCCTTTAAGAGGAGCTGCCTGGGGCTCCAGCTGCCTCAGTCTCCCTGAGCCTCAGTTCCCGCTGGCTTTCCAGCCAGAATTATGGGGATTCTCTTCCTGGCCCTGGAACCCTGAGCGGGGCACCTGGTGTGGGACGGGGACCCCTCAGTCCTTGGGGAGGACCTTCCCAGCCGAGGTGTCCTCCTGATTTTTATCCGCCACACGTGGGTGTGGGACCAGCCCGTCCCCTCCGCCCTTCCTACCAGGCTCCATGTGGCTGCTGCTT